AAAAAAAAAGGATATTATTTTATCAAAAGAATGAGATATCATGATTAAAAAGAGTACTGAATAGGATTTATATATATATATATATATATATAACATGAATCATTTTAAAATGTCGCACGGGACATCCAAAATTTCAGGATGACCCAGTACACTATACACTTATGAGCATATTCAGAAAGTCAAGTTGGCTGCCGTCTAAATACAACTCTAATAAGTATACTATCATCGAAGGATGTAAGAAGCGTTATGTTTTTAACAAACTCACTTCTCTTCAATGTTTTTCAGGTTATTATGGAGAATGGCCCTTCCTTGTCTGCCTAGCTAATTGTTGGACAGTAATTGTTGATTTCCTTTGTTTGCTGTCAAATATTTTATGGCATACTGGTCACACTAATGGAGTGGATCAGACAAGTTAATGGATAAGATTTTGCATTTTTTTCTCGATTCTACTTTGTTAGATCTCTATTTGTTATTGGTTTCATTCATGTAAAAAATCTAGGTTAGTTGAGCTATAATTGAATTGTAATTGAAGTCCAAATAATTGGGGTTTGTAATATAGGTCTTGAAGGAGTCCAAAAAGATCACATATGATCAATGAAATGCAATTAGAAGTCTAAGAAATATCAAAGAGGTGCAAAGTCATACTGCAAAATCATGCATTTTTCACATAGAAAACATTTGAACTGGAAAAACGCTATTTCTAGTCTAGCCATTTGAGTTATCTTTCCAAAACACTTAAAAGTTACCTCAATCTTATATTGAGAGAGAAAGTTACAAGGAAAATATTGATGACTCTCCCTTGGTGCTAGCTTGGCACTTGAACGACGGCTAGGCGATATAGAATTATGTTTCAGTTTTAATACTAATTTTAATCATATTACACCCCCAAACACTACCTATTATATATACCAAAGCCTAGATCATTCTAGAAGTGTGTTGAATCGTTATTTTACATTAGAGATCATCTTGTGCAGATCCAAAACACAAACCATTGATTCCTTGATTCAACCTCAAGATCTTTGATTCATATATACATCACAAACATATTGAGCCTGTTTGAACCCCATTTTTTTTAGAGAAGAATGCATTTTGAAATAATAGATTGATGGAAAATGTGTGGTTAAAAAATAAGGAAATGTTTTAGATTTGCGTATAATATTATTTTAATGAAGAATATATTGTTGAAAAAAAAAGAGAAAAATATATTTTGATAATAATAGGAATCAAACAAGGACATTGTTTTGTTGGTTGATCCATAAAACTCTATATTCAACCCAAAGATCAAAACACATAAATCATTGATCAAACCAAAACACTCTTACCTTCGCATTAGCCTTAAGAATTATGAAGTTGGAGAAGAGGCGTTAGGAGTTCCAGCGCTACAAAACTAGTTGGTTCTTGGAAATCCAATGCAAAGAAAAGTGGTCCAGAGTTCTGAAAAGTGCGAATCACACAACTAAAATATTTCCTTGGGGATTTACAAAAATTAGTCAGTGCAAACACCCTTTCACCACTGAAAATTTTAGTCGGGCATACTTTTGCCGACTAGTTTTTTCCCGATCAACTAGAAAAAATTAAAGAAAAAGCAAAATTCGAAAGATAAATGTTTGGGCGGTGGCCTTTGAATACTTTAACAGTTTAACTAAATTCAACGACAACTAATGGTGGTTGGGTGTTACTTTTTCCTTTTCTATACATTTTTAAAGTTAAAGAATGAGGTTTTTGTATAAATTTTACTTTTTAGTATGTATGTTAATTAAAGGCTATTTCGCGCAATACCTCTTATCATTTGGGGTTCTTGTTGTATTGATACTTATCAATCCTGATATTGTCAAAACAATATTTCAACCTTTGGCTGTGAAATCACTTTTCAATCTACCACAATTTATTTGACGGTTAAAAAGTCAACATTTTGATCTTTAATTTTAATTATAGAAGAAAAATGCAAAACCAATACCAAAAAAAAAAACTCATTCTATTTCATTTCTTAGTTTTTAAATTTTTTTGTGTTATTTTAAGTAAAGTTAGAATTATTGTAGTTTTTTTTGGTCAAAATATTAAATTTTTAATTGTCAAATAAACAACAGCGAACAAAAATAGTGATTTTTGCATTAAAAGGTCGAAAAGTCATTAATAACATGAAGATTGCAACAATAGTTACCTATTTCACAGGGATCTCAAACGATAGGGGATAGGGAAAATTACCAAAAATCAGGTGTTAAGTTTGAGGTTTTTAAAAATCAGGTTTTATCTTTATTTAATCAAAAATCAGGTTTTAATTTCAGAATTAATATTAATAATAATATTTTAAATTCAATTAATATATATACCCACCCCTACCCCCAAATTTCAATACAATCTATCCAAACCCTAAATCTATCCATCTCTCTCCACCCTCCCATTTCTTTCCACGCCCGCCGCCTCTTCCCACCACTACCGTCCGCCGCTTGACGACTCATCCACCACTACTGTCCGCCGCCTCCGCCTCCTCCCATTCTCTCTCCTCCCTCCCTTCTCCTTCCCCCTCACTCCCTTCTCCTCATTGTCGGTGTGGCGAATCACCCCACCGCCTGCCGCCTCCTCCATCCCTGCTCCTTCCTGCCGGCGTCGCGACGCTGCCGTTCGCCGCCTGCACACCTGGTCCGTTCGCATCCGCTCCGTTCGTTCGCACCGCCTCCACACCTGCTCCGTTCGTTCACCGCCTCCACACCTGCTTCTCCCCTCTTCTCTCTCTCACCACCCTCGTCCGTCGCCGCTTCATCCAGTTCATCGATGGGATCAATCCAGTAAGTTCATCATCTCCGTCCGTTTCCCTCTCTCTCCCGTCCGTCTTCTCTCTCTCTCTCTCACATCGTCTTCTCTCTCCCAGGTTCTGCAGATCTGTTTTTGGGGTGAGGTGCGACGGTGGTAGGTTGGCAGTGAGTGATGTGCGTGGAATGATTGTCGATTTTGCTGTGTGTGCGGATGGTAGTGGGTGCGTGTTGGCGGTGGTGGTTTTGGAGGTGGTGACTGGTGAGGGGATGTTGTGGTGTTGGCGGATCTGTGGCGAGGGTTGGCTGTGCGTGCGTGTTGGTGGTGGTAATGGGTGCGTGCGTGCGTGTTGGCGGTGGTTTTGGAGGCGGATATGTGGGTGTGGGGCGGATCTGTGGGTGTGTGTTGGTGGTTGGGCTGATCTGTGGTGTTGGTTGGTATTATTGTTGGTGGATGGTTGCGGCGGCGGCGAAGAGGGCCTGTGACCAAGTATTGGTGGTGGATACGGATCGAGGACTGGTGTTTGGATGTCTGTGACCTACTATGCAGTTCTCTGTGATCCACTATTAAACCGTGACCTTAAAATTTGATAATATGTGACCTATAGTTTTGTTTTTCAGTGAACAATAAAGTCAATAGTTATGATTTGTGATCAACAAATATATGATCTGTGACTAACAAATTTGGAAATATGTGACCTCTGTTATCTATAATTTTTTTTAATTTGTGACTAAATTAAAAATCTGTGACCTATACTAATTTTAACTTGTGACTAAATTAAAAATTTGTGACCCATATTAAATCTGTGATTGACAAATTTTAAAAATCTGTGACCTATACTGGTCGGAATCTGACCAATCGTCGGAATTAAGTGGCTGCGGAACGATCACCGGAGTGGTCGTCGGAGTAGTCACCGTCGCCGAAACAGTCACGACCGCCGGAACAGTGGNGGTGGTGGAAGTGGGGTGGGATGTGTTAATTATATTATATTATGGTTAAATATTTAATTTAATATAATTGTAAAATATAATTAATTAATTTTTGCAAAACCTGATTTTTGCAAATTTAAAATTTGGGACCTGATTTGTGATTTTGGGAAAGAAAAAGCCTGATTCATACATTTTTCCCTGGGGGTATTGCGAAAGAGAGGTTAATTAAACGGATTTCATTAATAAAGAACTATGGTGTATGTTGAAAATGTGGATTCTAAAAGAAATGGAATGAAGACCTGTTTGCTATCAAGTGTATAGGCAGGCCCGGTCCTGAGGCGAGGCGGACGAGGCCCGCACCTCAGGCCCAAAACTGGAGGGGGTCTATTTTTTGGCCCACAGTTTTTTTTTTTTTTTTGTTTAAATGGTAAACGAATAAAGTGGGCGAAGAGGCTCTGTATCAATCTCTTTGACTCCTTTGACCTTCCCTTTCTACATTACATTTCCCTTTCTTTTCCTCAACCGCCGCCGTCGCTGATCTCTTCTCTACACTTCCCTTTCTTTTCATTCGGTACTGTGGGCCTGCGGCGATCGTCGATTGTGAAGAATACTGACGGAAGCAATGGGAAAACAGAGCTCTGTAAAGAAAATGGAAGATGCCATTTGTATATTTTTGCCTGAATCAGGACGCACGTATTACATTAGAGATTTTTACAACTATTGAAGAACTGGGGACTTTTTGTCTCTTTCGAAATCCTTCTTATGCGACAAGCGGCCAAGATTGTCAATAAAAAGCGAATTCCAATTGAATTTGCAGTATATCTGCCGATAATTCGAATAGATCAGAATTCGGCCAGCCGCCGATGAGCTATGGCCTGGTATCGTACCGGAGAGACTGTCAGTGGAAGTGAAACTTGGGTTCGGCCTTTTTAAGGTTTGTGATTTGTGAAGCGAATTCCAATTGGACTAAAGCTGTAATTTTCCCCTTTGATAATTTGGTTGTTTGATATGACACAACACGGTTTCTCATTGAATAAAGAGCCATGCAACTTCAAGATTCCTCGCGTTAATGTATATTCTAGGAAATTTAACAAAATAAAGGTAAAATTCTTGAAAAGTTGGGAAGGAAACATGCCAATTTCCCACTAAAAAAAATAATTGTTTAATTTGACCCAACACGGTTTCTCATTGAATCAAGAACCACGCAACTTCAAGATTCCTAGAATACTCGTTAATGTATTTTCTTGGAATTTTTTAACTAAATAAAGGTAAAATAAAAGGTTGGAAAGGAAACACGCCAATTTCCCATTAAAAGAATTACTAAATTAAAGAGACCCATTAAATCGAAGCAAAGCAAGCAATTTCAAAGAACGATCAAACCATTCATGAGATACATTAAACATGAAAAACCAATTCATGAAACGTATAAAAATTAGTTGAAATTACAGAGACAAAAATTAGAGGAAAAAAAAGTATTGTTCATGAAAAAATTTTAAAAAAGATAACTATTTATACAGATTTATATGGGACGAGAGGAGACAAGATTGCAATAATTTAATCATCCACATATAAGTGAATTGGACCTTAAAATTTTTTTACTTCTTTGAAGATTTAATCGGCGAGTTCTTAGGCAAAATTAATTTGGATATTTATTTATTTATGTTAAACTGAACAGCACCACATATATTGTGATGTTGGTTGATGACTATGCAAATAAAAATAAATAAATTGAATGAGTACTACATTGCAACTGCTTGTATGGATTGAACCCGAAAGGTGCAATTTTCTACATTAATTTCATAACTGGCCAGCAATGCCAGCTACGCTGATGAAATTTTAACATTTTTTTTTTCAAAAATGCTATTCATGTGTATTTATAACTTCAGTCTAGATGATTCTAAATGATATATTAAATGAAAGGTGAAATTGAATGACTTATTTAATTTCACCTATCATTTAATTTCATATTAACGCCATCTAAACTGGAGTTGTAAACACACTGGAAATAAATAACATTGCCCTTTTTTTTATAGTCAATTAGTCAACTTTTCATAGTTTTCTATTCCCAATGAAATTAATTTAACATTATTTTGAGGTGCATTATAAAATATTATATTGTGTTAGGACAACTTAAGATGCGTTTTTCGTATTCTAAATGGACATGGAAGTCTATCAAAATTCTAGAGTAGGGCGGTAAGCAAAAATCGTCAAATCGGAAAATCGAACCGAAATCGCATTTTAGAAACCGTCGGTTTGGTGCCACGTAGACCCGTCAACGAAATAGTTTTGAACCAAACAAAACCGGTTAAAAATGGTTTGGTTTATGTTTGAGAATTTTATTTGCGGTTTAAAATCAAACCGGACCGGTGAAAAAATATATAAAAATAAAAAAATGAAAATTTCTGAAAAATCCAAAAATGTAAAAATTCAATAGTTTTGTCATGTGTGGATATTTTTGTCAATTTTTAATTTTCTATTACATATATATTATTATTACCCAATAATTCTAATTTATATCTAATAATCTCAAGACTAACATAATATATCAAAAGTTTTTTTCCTCTTCAAAATTCAAATGAACTTCAGCCGACACCGACACAACCTTGAGTCACTAGCATCACACCAAATCACAGGCAAAGAGATCCTGGATTTTCGGTGATAATATTTGCTATGAATAAAGTTTCAGATCAATAATTTGTTTGAGCAAATTGAGGTAATAAATTTGAAATTATATGAGTTTCGCATTTCTCTCAACTATTGGATGATTGTGAAATAAATTTACTCACTTTGATGGAAATGGTTTATCTACTATGTACATGATTCTATTCTATTTGTGTGGATATACTCTTGTTTTGTGACTGAATTAGACATGATAAATTATGTCAATAGAAGCAAAAAAATGTTCATTTGCAATTTGATTTGTTGAAGAATTGTTTAATAAGCTAAAGGAAACCAACAATGACTTCAGTAGCAACTATACTTGCATCAATTTAATTGTTGTATTTTATTATATGCTTAGATATTTTGTTAAACTGTTTCTTTAAGTATGTTGAATTAATAATGATGATATCTATTCAGTTAACCTATTAAAGTCTCGGATTTTGATCCAGTAGGCGTAAAGTTTATCATTTAGGGTGTTGTCTTATTAATGTCTCAGTAATTGTATTATGGAATTATATTCTTTCAAATAAATATTTAGTTTATAGGTGTTTTAGGCTTTATATTTAGTTTATTAGACTTGTATTGTAACGTTATCATAACATCTTAGCCTAAAAAAGGTTAACAAAGATCTATTATTATGATTTTACTTGGATTTAGTTGGTATTTAAATTTATAGTAGATATATTTAGTTGTTTTAGATTTATTGCTAGTAAGATATAAATATATATTAAATTCAATGAATTAATGACATAAAAGTAGACATGCAAACAAATATACGACGAAATCGGCGGTTTAAAACCGGACCAAACCGTTAGGTTTAGATTTGAGTTTTTTTTCAAACCGATCAAAATGGTTTGATTTAGGTTTGAGTTTTTCTCAAACCGATTTAAACGGTTTGGTTTGAAAATCTGTGAAACACCAATAAAATCGGACCGCTTACACCCCTATTCTAGAGGGACAATACCAACTTAACAAGGAAAAAGCAATTATTAAGTAGTAAGAATAACGTGTTATAACGTTATTGATAGTTTTTATATTTGTCTAACTCCTTTTTTTTTTCTTCGAAAGAAATTGAAACACAATTTGACTCAATTCAATTAGGGTCTGTTTGATTGCAAGGGTGGAAAATAAGTGAAAAAAAATTAAATTTCAAGGAAAGTAATTGTCTAGAAATTGTTTTGCACAGAATTCTTAATTTAGTGTGTTTGATTGGTATAATTTTTCACCTGAGAAATTTTTAAATTGTGTTCGTTTGATTTTGTTTTATTGGAAATTGTCCATTAAAATGATAATTTTTTTCACAATTGGTTATAAAATTTGTTTCCATTGTCAAAAAGTGAAAAAAAAAAAAGGAAATTTTTTTCATCAAAATTTAGTGTTCGTTTGATTTTGTTTTACTTGAATAAAAAAAAAAAAAAAAAAAAAAAAAAAATTCCTAAAAAAATTATTTTTTTTAATCAAAATTTTTTGTTCGTTTGATTTTATTTTACATGAAAATTGTCCATTAAAGTGAATTTTTTTTTTTTTTTTTACAACTAGTTATGAAATTTGTTTTCATTGCCTAAAAAAAAAAAGTTTTCCCTAGAAAATTGTGACAATCAAACAAGCCAAAATCAAAAAAATGGAATTTGTTTTCCAAGTTCTAGGGAAAATATGCCCAATCAAACGAGCCCTTATAGTTATTCGTAATTCGACCACCTTTGTCTCCATATAAGTGAATGCGCGTGAGATAGCGATGTTATAAACTGTAAAATTTTCAGTAGAGTTTTGTACTTTAAATTAGATCGTTAAAAAAACTTCAAATTATGTTATAAACTGTATTTATTTATGTTTCACTTTAATACTATTCAAATTTGTTAGATCACCTCCTACAACACAATCATTTATGACAACTAACGAAATAAAAAAGAGAAGGCATCGGATATGACAACAGATCTGCACCAGAGCCAGAGGACTTCTTTGCCAATCGGTCCGTCAACACTTGCTTCAAGCCGCAATAATGCTATGGTCAGGTTTGATAATGATTTTATTCAAATAGTGTATCGACTCACTGGAAATCAACCTACTCTTCAAGTCCTCCCTCTTATTGGCATGGGAGGCATGGGCAAGACTACACTTGCTAGAAATGTTTGCCGTGATCCATTTATTGAATATCATTTTCACACTCGTGCCTGGGCATCAATTTCTCAAGAATATAGTAAGCGAGAAGTCGTGCTGAGCCTTCTGGATTCCATGGAACTACTCAGTGCTGAAATGTGTCAAGTAACCAGTACTGAAAAATTAAGAGAGTATTTATATAAACGTTTAAAAGGTAGGAGGTATCTTGTTGTGCTGGGTGATATTTGGACTACCGAGGCTTGGGAGTTGTTGAATAGTTTAGATTTAGTTGCATTTTCCCAACTAATTCATGCTATATAGGCCATGAACGAAGCCTCTCACCCTGCATCAAACCCACAAATATATTCACTCTGACAATGAAATAGTTTTTGAAATCACAGGTGGTCAAAATGAGATTTACATAACATACCAATTCTTCAGCAATATTAGCCACCTGCACTANATAACAAGATTAAAGAGAAAAAGATTACATACAAAACATGAGTTTCATCAGATCTCGGCTGCATTCAAGATAGAAAATAAGCTAAAAAAACTATAAAAAAATCATCAGATCTCGGCTGCATTCAAGATAGAAAATAAGCTAAAAAAACTATAAAAAAAATATTTTTTTTTTCAATGGGGGCGGCCGCCCCCGCTGGGCCCTTCGTGGGTCCGCCCCTGATAATCAAGAGAACTCAATCACCAAATAGTTCAATTAATTACATCAAAATTAGTACAACTGTATCACTCATTCTGCACAAATTTTGATTTTTACTACTTGATCTAAACAATAACTAAATCTCTCGATTTGTCATTGTTCACAAATCATTGAATTAATGATCAAATGATTCAAAGTCAAAGAAACGAAATAAAAACAATACACAAATATCAATTAAAAATCAAAATATGATAATTAAAATTAAGGGTGTGTTGATCCACATTTTTTGGAAGAATGTATTCTAGAATAGTAGATTGATGGAGAATGTGTGGTTAAAAAAGAAGGAAAAGTTATTGATGTGATGTAAAATATTATTTTATAGAAAAATGTGTGGTTGAAATGAGTAGAAAAATGAGAATGAAAATTTTAATGTGTACCAAACAGGGATTAAGTTTCAAAATTATGTTGAATCATATATCCCAAATATGGATTTAGTTACCCATCATGGGAGAAGAAAATACAAGAAAGAATTAGTGCATCACCGAGTTAGAAGGAAAAACGATAAAAAAAAAAAATTGAAGATCCTTGAACCAAGAATCGCCTTTTTTTTTTCACGTGAGCTTTTATTTTTTGTTACTTTTCACGATCCCCTTGCATTCCGCTAGCCTCCAAAAGCTCTGAATCAACTGTCTGGGCGCCATTTTCTTGGCCACAAAATTGATTAATTGACTGTTAATTTCAACAAGGGTCCCACCAATGTGAGGATGAGGTCAACATGTGCGGCTGCCAACGGTACAAAAAGCGATTAAATTCTGCGGAAAATTGGAAACAGACACAGCGATTAAATTAGCTCAAAACCTTCCTTTTGAATGCGGATTTTACCAACAATTATCATATTTACACAAAATTAGGTAGGAATTCACTCAAACGTAAATTATTTATCAAGTTTAAATGGAATGATAAGCATGTAAAATTGAGCTGCAGATCCAGGATGAAAAATTGTGCCTTTAAACTAGTGCAATATATGACATTGTTCCATGGCTGCTTTTACATTTTCTTCAGCTGGGTAGAGGCAACATCTTTTAACCGTAAATGACGTAGCAGCACCAAGCTCCATATGTTAGGGATATGTTCGTCCAACTTCTTACAAATTGATAAAGACTAACACGAGCTTTGATTTTATTTCATAGCTGCTTTTGACTGTATGTCCAACTATTTAATGTAGGCACTTGAGGCGTTAGGATATTTTGCCCGTGACTCGACAAAATCTCCTGATCTTGTCCTTAGTGATAGAATGTTAATGCCCTTATTGGAACAATTTAATGATAAAACAAAACTATCCATTATTAGAAAGGCAACGCGGACATTGTCAAACCTTTGTCAGGGAAAGCCACAGCCTCAGTTCGACCAGGTTTGCTTCTAAATGCTTTTCTGTTCGGTTTTGATGCTTATCAATACTTATGGACCTTGGTATATTTAACCAATTCCTTCTGGAAATTATTGAATAGGTGAAATCTGCCCTCCTTCCTCTTGCTCATCTGATTCTTATAGACGACAAAAAAGTCCTTAAATATGCATGCTCGGCATTACTCAATCTAACTGTTGGGACAAAGGATATAATTCAAACTGTGATCGATGCTGGTGTTTTCCCTCATTTGTTTGAGCTTTTACTGTTAGTGAAAAAATCCTACTTGATATAGTTCCTTGTTTTTTGATTTGAAACTTTGCTTTTGTTTATTGAACTTCATAACTGTGCTTATTTGGTTTAGTAGTTCACAGATACCCTTCACCTGTAGTTTCTATTCCTGCCCTGTGCACTGTTGATAATATTATTTCATATGGAGATGATATCGATATTCAGGTATTAGCTGACTCTTGTTCTTAACCATAATTAGTAAACTTCCATTTGAGCACATGAATTCGTTGTTATGTGGTGTTGACCTCAAAAAACGGATCTACTACCGAGCCAACAAGTGATATCTTCACGTCAACCCTTTCCTGCATGAACCACACAATGTCAGTTACACGTGGCCTTTCCCATAAGAGGTGGGAACGGTCATGGGCACTCCGATGGTCAAGTCAGCGTAGGATCAACCGGAAATTAGTTCACCGGTCTTCAAGTTTTCACTCGAAGGCGGCTTACGAAGTGTGGGGAACAAGTGTCAATATCAGGGAGCAAAAGAGATGGTACCAGGTTTTTTTCACCTTTTTCTAGCCGAAGATCCCTTTTTCAAGCACAAGGGTATAGTATTTATACCGGGTGTGAAAGGAGGAGGGCCGTTGGATGAGGAGGCACGTGTAGTTAGATTATTAGGGCCCGTCCCATCGTAGGCGTCAACTTGTCTTTCCGTAGGTTGGCTGGCATTGAATGCTTCTGGCTGATTTGACCGTTTGGGTCCTGCCACACATCCCATCAATCACAGATTTGACTGGGAAGATCTCTGTACGGGAGATCTTTGCCGGGGCGTGGCGGGACGAAGCAGAAAGGGGGCGAAGTGCAGGGCACCGATTTCTCAACTGTGACGCAAACAGCCCGTCCTCTACGCAATCGCCTCGGACATGCGTGTGGCACGTCACCCTGCCGACACGTGGAGTCCGAGCTACTGGATCGGTTCCCGCCCGTAACAATGGTCCCCCAAGTCCTTGTACATGTATTTATACGTTACGAGGACTTTCAAGGCTGTGGACGGGGTGCATGGGAAGGAGCGTGGGGTTCTTGGTTGGTCCGGACCAGATTGAAATGGGCCATCGACCCCCGCGGAGGGCTGTTGCGACATGAAGCCATAGTACCAAGGCAATAGGAGTTGGCAACTCTTGGGGGAGTTGTAGCAACTCCACGTTTTGCCCTGGCTGGGGCGGCCGGGGTTGCAAACTCTAGGAGAGATGTTGCAACATGAAGCTATCGTACCGAGGCGATAGGACTTGGCAACTCTTGGGGGAGCTGTAGTAACTCCACGTTTTGCCCTGGCTGGGGCGGCCAGGGTTGCCAACTCTAGGAGAGCTGTTGAACATGAGGCTATCGTACCGAGGCGATAGGAGTTGGCAACTCTTGGGGGAGCTGTAGTAACTCCGCGTTTTACCCTGGCTGGGACATCCAGGGTTGCCAACTCTAGGAGAGCTGTTGCAACATGAGGCTAAAGTACCGAGGCGATAGGAGTTGCCAACTCTTGGGGGAGCCGTGAGGTAGACGATGGTTTCCGAAGAGACAGTCTTGGTTATTGTGCCAATGATTTGAAAGCTTTTTGCCTTTCCAAGGAATGCAAAGGGGACGCGTCTGCTGCTTCCGAGACATGCTTGTTTCGTCATAAATGGCAATGATGGCGACGGCTCCACGAATTTTGGGGTGACGCACTCTGGCTGTGCGTGGAGCTCACCGCTCCATCGTGGCCGTTGATTTTGGTGACTCTTTACTTCAACGGTGATCCTTTCGCCTTAGCATCGAATGGCCTAGATGCGGTTTGGGTGATCTAACGGCTGGGGCCAGTTTTTGGGTGCCTACAAAAGGCCCATCCATTTCATTTTCAAGTTTTTACTTTTGCGAAAATCTCTGAAGGCATATCGAGTCTCTGCATTCCGGCGAGTTCCATCACTAATTTCCGGCGGCGGCTCTGTGAATATTGATGTCAAACCGGCTTCCGGCAGTGTGTTAGGTAACTTTACACATTTTCAGCTTCTTCACCTTCTTTCTTCTTCAAATTTTTCAACAACTCTTGCGATGGCGAGTGAACAGTCGATAGTGAGGGGGAGTGGGGAGGAACGAGGTGAGGAGAGTACTCTTAGGGAGCCCATAGTAGTGTATCCAGACGAGCTTAGCAAGGCCATCATGGCCGGAGAGAATATCTGGAGGCGACCTGCTTCCCCCGTAGATACGTCTGTCCAATGGGGGGCTTCGAACTACCCTTCTACAGTCACCTCGGAACAGTTAGAGAGGTGCAGGACAGTGTGTAGGATTCCCCACAATATCCAAATAATCCTCCTCGAACCGCATGAGAGAGCTTGTTATCCTAGGCCCGGGTGTGTGGCGGTGAGCGATCATTTGCTTCGGGCCGGACTGAGGCTTCCTTTCCACCCCTTCTTTAGGTTAATACTTAGGTCCTACGGGGTGGCTCCGACCTAGTTTAATCCCAACTCATGGTCCCAAATGGTGGGAACCTGGATGTTGTGGCGCCGGGCCAGCCTCGGGTCGGATATGCCATTCAGCGTGTTCCACTCCCTATTATTTCAAAAAAACGTAGCTGGGGGGGAGGAGAGTCGGGGCTGGTACTATCTGCCTCCCTGGGGGTCCCATTCTCCGTTCCTGGACGGGGTGCCTACCTCAATTAAAGGCTGGAAGAGCTCGTGGTTCTGGGTCTCCGGTAGTTGGGACACCATAGAGAACAACCCTATGGCGCCTCTGACAATCCCTACCACCTATTCTACTTACAGTAAGTCATTTAACCGAACTGGTTTACTTTAACAGTTTTGCTCATGTTTTAATATTTCTGCTCCATGCAGGCTCTCTTCCGAAGTGCGAGATATCCGAGGAGGAGTGGGACATTATTGGTCAGATATACCAAACTCCTCTGCCAGAAAGGAGTTATAAGGAGCTTATCGACAAGAATCACCACCTCGTTCTGCACGGCCTCATGACGAACCAAGGTAAATCACTTAGCCTCAGCTCTTTCAATCATGCTTCCGCGTCGAGAAAACTTATCGTTCCCTCTTTGTGCAGAGGATTTTGTGAACAAAAGGCCTCCGAAGCCTGACCTCGCTTCTATTCGCCGCAGGCAAAGACCTTGCGAACGAGCTCAGCAGCTTACAAGAAGCAGTCGGAGCGTCTACTCTCCCTCAGCCGGGCCAGGCAGCAGCCTACTAAGGAGAACATGGCAGAGGAAGGGGCTTCCCTAGTCCCGAGGAGGAAAAAGCGAACGGGCCCACCCAGGGCTTCCTCCTCTACCCAGGCCGGTGCAGAAGTCACCGTGGAGGTTCAGCCAGCTTCCCAGGCCATTGTTCCTATAACCACCTACTTCACAGGCGAGCAGCCCAGGAAGAGGTTGAAGAAGTCTGCCGGAGCCCCGGCCAACGAAAATAGAGCCAACTTCCTGGGGAGTAAGGAAGAGGACCTGCTCGAAGCAGTTCTGGAGATGCTGCCCCTTGAAACCGCCTCCGCTGCTCGAGTCCAAAGCAAATACTGGACCGAGGACTGGGCAAATCATGCCGCCTCGTGTGAGGTCGAGGACCTACTGGCTGCTAATAATGCTTGCGTTGCGAGGGCGCTGAGTATGGAAGCTTCGGCGGAGGATCTGGTCCAAGGCCTTCGCAAGAAAAATAATGAGTTTGGACGACCAGCTGAAGGCCTTGGGATCTTGGGAGGCTGAAGTGGCTAAGGCCAAAAAGGAAACGGAGGAGGCGGAGGAGAGGTGGGTGATGGCCACTTCGAAGTTGGACACCGCGGAGGTTCGTGTCAATCAATTGAAGAATGAGCTTCATGAGTCTGCCTCCCAAGTGGCAGCTCTGACAAAAAGGGTTGACGATGCCAATGAGCATTAGCGGATAGCCTCCGAGGCTTTGGTTGAGGCGAACAGGGAGAGGGACGAATTGAAAAAACTTACTGAGGCCCAAGCCAAAGAGATTGGTTCCCTGAAGGCGGATGTGGGGGCTATTGACGAGGAGGAGGTTCTGAAGTACAAAGAGAACTTCCATACTACTCCGGAGTATGACGACTTCGCCAATTACTGGGCGTCCTGGGCTGCCAAGGAAGTGATGTCACGTCTGCATGAAAAGTATCCCGAGCTAGACATCAACTTCTTGGAGGAGGAGGTCGGGGTGCCTACCGGAGGTCGCCCTGGTCCTGATGGAGAGGATGGAGGAGAAGAGGCTGGAGAAGAAGAGACAGGGGCGGAAGCCATAGTCCATGTAGACTAGCTGTCTTGTATCTTTCACTTCTGTCTTTGTAAAGGCTTCGGCAATTTTGCGATTTAGTGATTCTTGTTAAGTGTTGTTACTTCTGCTTGTTTTGCCTTCTTGCTTAGTTGATTTTCTCAGCATCGACTCGGCCGGGCAGGGGCTTGCACGGCCATTTAGTAAAGATGGGACCATTTAACAAAAAATGGATAACTAATTCACCTCGTAGCCGTTCAACCATTTAATAAAAATGGGATAAGTAATTCGCCTCGTAACCATTCAAACATTTAATAAAAATGGGACAAGTAATTCGCCTCGTAACCGTTCAACCATCTAACAAAAATGGGATAAGTAATTCGCCTCGTAACTGTTCAACCATTTAACAAAAATGGGACAAGTAACTCGCCTCGTAACTGTTCAACCATTTAACAAAAATGGTACAAGTAACTCGCCTCGTAACCGTTCAACCATTTAATAAAAATGGGACAAGTAGCTCGCCTCGTAACCGTTCAACCTGGGCGCCAAAGAAGTTACGCGCTTCTGCTTCTACGAAGGTGACACCCACACCGCCTCTGACTAAGCAGATCCTCCTCGGGGTGTGACCCCTTGGGGGGGCTTGCACCTCGTCAAGGATTTGTTTTTAAGTTGCACGTTCCTGCTTCGACAAAGGTGGCACCCGCACCGCCTCTGACTAAGAAGATCCTCGGGGTGTGACCCCTTGGGGGGCTTGCACCTCATCAAGGATTTGTTTTTAAGTTGCGCGTTCCTGCTTCGACAAAGGTGTCACCCGCACCGCCTCTGACTAAG